ATGAGTTAATGCCAGCATCTGGCATATGGTTAGCCCTTTCTATGTAAGTATTAGCTAATTTAGAGACTGTAGAGTAAGAGGGAAAAGGAGAAACCAGTGGGGGATACTTTGGTCAGTAATCCAAATTCACCACCACAAATCTGTGCTAACTCTCTTTTGCATTTCTTTTCATTTTATACCCAGAGGACTTGTGATAAGAGAACAAAGCCAAACACAAATCTCCAAGAACACAAAAACATTGAAGTGGAAATAGCACAGAACATTTGCATACTTGGCCTCCACTAGATATGACCAAAATTTCCCTATTTGTGGGCCTGGCTCACTGTCCCACGTTACCCAAGATCTGGTCATTTGACCCACTCTACCTGTTGCCCAGCCAGCATCTATGGGAGACTCCTTCCTGGCTGGTGTCTAATGGGCTCTGAACACACAGAAAGGACAGTAACAAAGCACCCTTGAGGAGCCCAGTGGGGATGACAGACATGTTAACAGACAGTGGAGGTACAGGGAGGTTCAGTTCTGTGGTGGGTGTGATAGGAGCCTATAGAAAGGTCACCTAACTCCAACCTGGGAGTCAGGTTATGTAAAATTTGAGGTATCTTGGCTTTAGCAATGATTTTCTTGGCTATGACTCCAAAAGCACAAGCGGCAAGAGAGTAAGTAAATACACTGAATTTCATCAAAAGTACAAACTTTTGTGCTTCAAAGGAGACCACCAAGAAAGTGAAAAGACAACACAGAGAATGGGAGAAATTATTTGTGAATCATATATCTTAATTAGTATCAGGACTAATATCAAGAATATATAAAAATCTGAAGTGTCTGCAAGACAATCCAGATTAGGATGTCTTTTAGGGAATTAAAAATATTGATTAGTAGTTTAGAAGAGAAATCAAGGCTAGAACTAGCATATTTTGTAATTATGCTATAGTAAAAGTAACGAGACTTGAGATTGTCTAGCTCCAGTTAGAAGAGGGCCACAGAGCCTTCTTGGAGGATACAAAAAATCCACAGCTGAGAAAGAATTCCCAGCTGGATGCACACACATATCGTGATAGGCACTCAGTATTTGATTGCTAATTGAAATTGAATGTAATAATTACTTTAAGGTTATAAAAATGTGTTACAGATAATAGTTCTTTAAAATTTAATTCTGCACACTCAATCATTTTAAGTATATGTAAAGGCCTTAAATGTACTAATATAACTTACCTTTAAATGTTTTTAGATTTTGATAAAACTTAAATTACAAGCTTTTCGATCAAGTCCATAAATATTATAATAAAACCATCAATATTACAATAAGACACACCAATGAAATCATATTTTCTGAACTTAATATCTTCTCTGGCAAGCAAGTATAGAAAAAGACGGGAAGAAACAAAAAGAATAAAATACTAATTTCCACATACACATATTTTGCCACATGGAATTTAACCTGTCTATTTTCTAAACTACTAGTGTTAGACTTTCTTTCTGGTCTTGTGTTTTATTATTATCATCTTCACAGGTCTCTAAAACCCAAGGCTTGCCTAAACAGAGCCAAGCTTCCTTCTTTTCTCATCGGTTGACTTCTTGCTTGTTTTCCATGTTTTCAAACACATCAGTCTCTCTCATGGGCTATAGGAGATGGGGATTCTGAGGCAGACAGGAGAAAAATAGCATCAACAGTGTATGAGAAAGGCTCAGCCTTGTTTTATGAGGAGACCAGACTTGGTAGAATCTTAGAAAGCCTTCCTGATCAAACGCTGGAATCCAATCTTCAGTCTACTCGAATTTATTGAATTCTTTATCATTACACTAAGTAATACTCATCTGCTTCTTTCCTCATCCTCAAAAACAACATTTAAAATTCTGGAATTTACCAAGACAAATAATAACTCCTTACTTTGCATTGCACTGTGGAATTTATTTAGTAGTACAGCTTCAACTTTTGTATAATTGAGTTAGTACATAATTATTTAACCTTAATACTGCAAAGTGAGAAAACGGAGGAAAAGCATAGAATTTTACATAAATTGGAATTGTAGGGATTCTCTTGATATTATGATAGATTACACCCAACTGATACCCTCATTTTCATTCTGGCCATTGCTTGACATCTAGCTGCGTACAAGTGAAATTTTATGGCACTTATCTTAGCTGTTCCAAGCATCTCTAGCTTTCATCGTGGGGGATCTCTCTGAGTAAAGACCTGTGCAGACCCACTCAGCCATTCTGAGACTTAAACAAAATTGAAGGACCAGGGGTCTGGGTCCACCTCGCCCACTTGGAGGACAGAAGCCATTAGACAAACATCCCCCTGTCCTAGGCAGGCAGTTCTGAGAAGCATTTTACATGACTCCTCAGAGGGGCCCCAGCAGGATGAAACTCTGGTCGCCCCCAGTAGTAGCCAGCTCAGTAAAGTTCTCTTGAATTGACTTTCTCTCCTGTTTTATTCTCCCCAGTCCCCAACTCCTGTTCTTTGGTATCACTTCTCAAAATAAGCCACAGGCACCAAAAAACCCTTGCCTCAGGCTCCAGTTTCTGGCAAGCTAAAATAAAACATTTATAGTCATATTCAAGCTAGGGAGACAAAAGATTGAAGTGTAAGAAGAAAACTAATAATGTGACAATAATAGCTACCATTATAGAGCCATAACTATGGGTATATTTTAGGTGCATTACTCTGATGCTCAAAACAGGTGATCTAAACTCTAAGTGATAGAGTTGGGATTCAAAGCCAGATGGTCAGACTTCAGAGCCTGTGGTTTTCATTACTAAGCTCTACAGAATAGTGCCCAATATGACTCAGACAATAAGATTCTGGAAAAGAGAGCTTATTTTAGGGTGGAGTAGTCTAAGAAAAGAAGTAGTTTTCATGGTCTTGAAAAACAGGTGGGACTTGGGAAGAATATGTTGAAGATCTCCACGCAGGTACACTACATTCCATTCACGATAATGAAAATTATTCCATGCTGTGAAATAAGTCTGAGTCCAGATAATAATGAAACGGTTTCCATCATTGGTAGGACAAGTTCATACCTTTCTATTACAAATATCTAGATGTACTACTGGGACGGCTTAGAATTGCTCAAAAGGAAGACCGCATCTGGATTGTGCTAGGAGATGAAGTAGCTAGGTTCCAGAAGGGGTGTATTAGAATGAGAGATGAGGACAAGGTGGGACCAGCACCTGGTGGATTCTCTATCAGAGGAGAGAGGGGACACCCATAATGAAAATTAGCACGTCAAGGCAGTATAGGCAGAAGACTCAGCTTCCACTGGGGACAGCAGGTCCAGAGGCTAGTGAGAAGGACAGGCCCTGTGCCCTGGAGAGGGTATGTTGGACTTACTTACAATCAGACATGATCAATGCTTTTTTTCAAAGACTGTTTGGAAACGGTCCTCTGGGACCTGGATAATCTATTGATCTGTAGGATGAAATAACATTTTTCATTTTACGATTTACTGAGTATAACATTGTATATTTGTTTAGTCTTGAGAGAGACACAGCTGAGTAAGAAAACATTCAGAAATTTTAAACTTCAAATATATTTGACATTTGTAATCATTTCATTCCTTACAAATGGCGAGATCCATCAATGGTCAGAAAATAAGCCTTTTGAGGATTAACACTTGTTTTAGAACATCCCTAGTTTCTTGATTTCAACGGTGTACCTATCATTTTCCCCACTCATATAGCCAGGTGGAAAGATACAAACGACTCAACAAGAAGATGACTCCCAAAGTTATTCAAGAGTAAAGTTTCGTGATTCTGTACGAAAAATCAAGTCTAAAACCCCGGTGAGAAATCCTGTCTTTTTAAATCATGCTTTTTTTAAAATCGCACATGATTTAAGTCGGTTTTTTGTTGGTTTGTTTGTGTTATTCAAAAATATCCAATGAGAGAAGACCATATACACATAACCTGAGTCCTATTACCATGGAGTATGCAAGAAAAAAGTAAGAGAAATGATTTCCACTTTTAAAATCCTAGGGGCTGGCCAGGTCGCACAGCGGTTATGTTCACATGTTTCACTTTGGAGGCTCGGAGTTCGCCGGTTCAGATCCCAGGTGCGGACATGGCACCGCTTGGCAAGCCATGCTGTAGTAGGCGTCCCACATATAAAGTAGAGGAAGATGGGCACGTATATTAGCCCAGGGCCAGTCTTCCTCAGCAAAAAGAGAAGAATTGCCACAGATGTTAGCTCAGGGCTAATCTTCCTCAAAAAAAAATAAAAAATAAACTTAAAAAATCCTAGAATCCAGCAGGAGAGATTAGAATACTGCCTGATTTGGGGAAAGGAGATGCAGGAAGGGCAGGAAATGTTAGTGATAAGACGATATGTTCAGCTCTGAAGTTGAACCAGCTTTCATTATGGGAAAAAAGAGGGATAGTAACTCAAGACGAACCAAAACAAAAAAAAAAGGTCTTTTTGAAAAAAGGTCTTAACAAATTTCTATTGCTCATAATTAAACAAAACTATTTCAGCATTGGCCCATAAAATGGTAAATCCACTTTTTAGCATTCTAATCATCTTTTCTAGAGTTTTTACTGCTATGAATAATATAAGCTCGTTGGAATGTAAATAATTGCTGGTTTATAAAAAAGTAACTCATTAAAGTTACTTATTAAAGGAGGCCACCAACTGCCTGTTGCACATGTTAAAGTTCAGGACCAGTATTCCCGTAGCTTCAACAAAGGGGATACACAGGATCCTAGAATGTGCCTGCTGCCATCAGCATCGAGCCAGCTGTCGGTGAACTGTGCAGCACTCATTTCAGTTTATGTCATCTGAAAGTCTATCGCTCACTCTTCTCCTTAGGTTCCGCCTGGCTTCCCTTCTGCAGAAGAAGCCTATAACTTCTTTACATTCAACTTTGATCCTGAACCAGAGGAATCAGAGGAAAAACCGAAAGCAAAAAATAGAGATGGAGCTAATCAAGAGGAGGGGGAGGGAGAGGAAGAAGAAGCACCTGTGCCCGAAGGAATAGACAAAACGGTATTACCATTATGATGGTAATGAAGAGAGGGGTGATGAAGTTAATGACGATGAGGACAATGATGATGACAATGACGATGATGATGATGACATCCTAGCCAGGAAGAAAGTGACTGAGGACAAACCTGCCACCACCACCTGAAACAGCTCATCCATGTTTAGCTGAAAGCAATAGGTGTCCTAGGTTCACTTTCCTCTCTGTAGCCTTTGATGTCGCTCCACAATTTGGGTAGTAAGGGCCTTGATTAAATCTGTCCGTCTTTCTCTTGTGGGGGAAAAAAAAGCAGAACAATGTGGTTTGCAGATTTTTCTTGCTACACTGCACACAATGATTAGTATTCATTTCATATGGAAAATGTTTGCCTCTCCAAGGCAAATGAAACCTTGCTCTCTCTCTCCCCACAAGCTTACAGGCAAGCAGCTTTCTGTATCCCAGACCACATCCAAGCTATAACTCAGATTCCGTAATTGTGGGTGGTACGTGTGAGATAAAAGAAAATACACCATTAAAAAAATGGGAAAAGAACTGGAATACATCTCTCTCCAAAGAAGACATACAAATGGCCAATAAGTAAATGAAAAGATGCTTAACATCACTAATCATTAGGGAAATGCAAATCAAAACCACAATGAGATACCAGTTTACACAAACTAGAATGGCTGTTAAAACACACACACAGAAAATAACAAGTGCTGGTAAAGATATGGAGAAACTAGACCCCTGTGCAATGCCAATAGCAATGGAAAGTGGTGCAGCTGCTGTAAAAAACAGTCTAGTGGTTCCTCCAAAATTTAAACATAGAACTACCATATGATCCGCCAATCCCACTTCTGGGTGTGTATCCAAAACAACTGAAAGGAGGCACTCAAACAGATACTTGTCCAACTCATGTTGATAGACGCATTACTCACAATAGCCAAAAGGTGGAAGGAATCATCTGTCCACAAACAGGTGAATGGACAAAGGTATGGACATACACACAACAGAATATTATCCAGCATCAGAAAGAAATTAAATTATGACAGACGCTACAACATGGATGAAATTTTCCAAATTCTTTCAATAAAGGTCGAAAAATAAGCATCCTCCAAGGAGGCCAGAATTGTTGAAATTTCAATTGTTTTGCTTAGCACATCTCTTCTGACTTGAGCCCATTGCAATTCTGACATTTTCCAAGTATGTGGAATAGTGAAAAACAAGGAAAATCCACTTGTAAAGTATGAAAGGTATGCAGTTTTATGCCTTCATTTAAAAAGAGACAAACAAAAGGAAAAGGTAACTTTATTGTAGGATATGATGTTTGAAGAGTTTAATATTGTTATTTTTCTTAGTAAACTAATAATCTTAGCATGATTTTTTCTGTTATTTTTTAATGTAATGCAGGATGAGGAAGAGTTGCTGGATGATAAAGATGCCGTGGATTTCCTATTGGGCTTGGATCGTGGGGCGGAAGATATTGTGGCTGTCAGACCTGCAGATTATGAAAGTGTCCACATTCGGCTGCAGAAGGAAAAAGAACTCCTGTTCATACCTAGCAGGAGGACAGGTGCTTGCTCTTTTTATCTTCCTGCTCAGTAGGGCGTTCATTTTCCTTCTAATGAAATATGGCTGGTGTCTAAGGATGCCCGATTTCCATAACCGATCCCAATTTGTAATCTGATTTAATAATCAAGAAATATCTTCAGATAAAAAAAATATAGAACACAGAAAAATATCCATTCAACAAACACTTATTGATAGAATAAGTGAAGAAATATCAGGATGCTGTGGTGGTCCCTTCATCAAATCAATGACCAGTTCTGGAGGCAGAGAGTATGTGAAACTCTGAGATTCAGGCTGTGAAAAGGAAAAACTCTCTGTTTCGTCCTCCACTCACACTCAACAGGTCTAGAACACGTCCATGACCAGATGTGGGGTTTTTTTCCCACACCAACCAATTCTCCAACACCAACTGGGTGTGCTACAATTCAATTCTGACCTATCTACCAGGGGTTAGTGCAGAACCCACAAATGAAGGGCTCAGTCCCACAAGACTGCCCTCTACGTCAGATGCCAATTCCAAGTCGTGGGTCTCCAGGTTACCCACACTACTATTCGACTTTGCTATAAATCAGAGGTTCCCATGACTCCCTCTTCAGTTTCAATAATTTGTTATAACATTGCATAGAACTCAGGGAAACACTTATATTTCCTGGTTTATTATATAATTTAGGACACAACAGAGGACACAGATGAAGAGATACATAAGGCAAGGTATGTGGGAAGGGGTACAGAGCTTCCATGCCCTCTCCAGGCGTGCCACCCTTCCAGCACCTCCACATGTTCACCAACTAGGAAGCTCTCCAAACCCCTTCAGTTAGGGTTTTTATGGAGGCTTCATTAGTAGGTCTGGTTAATTAAATCATTGCCACTGGTGATTAATTCAATCTCCAGTCCCTCTCCTCTCCCAGTAGTAGGGGTGGGGGAGGGGGTGGCTGAAAGTCCCACCCTTTACTCCCATGTTGGTTCCCTGCCTACCAGCACCCATCCTGAGACTACTCAGGAGACCCAGCCACCACTTATCTCATCAGCACGAGAGTTGTGCCAGGAGGCGGGCTGGTGGAGGGGAAGTGGCCAGGGCCCTGGAGCCAGCACCATTTGGTTCACTCCGGGTGACTGCTCCTTGCTTCCCTTCTGCTCTGGGTTTCCCTCTGCTCTTTTTTCCCCCTGGTATTTCCTTTCCTCCCGAGAGTGCCTGAGGGAGCTCCCCAGTTCTAATAGTGCACACTTAAAATGGCTGGGCAGCCTGAGTCCTGCAGGAGCCCCTCGGGCTGGGAGGGGTCTGCCCTTACTTTACTTGGAAGTTGGATCTGTTTTCATTTCTCATGTTCCAATTAAATGCTGAGCCCAGGATAAATTATTGTTTCATTTTGATAGGTCATTTTGAATCATGTCTTTGCAAAGTATTGGAATTTGTTGGACATCCCAAGTTTCCTTTTAGAGTAGGTTGCTGGCAAAAGTGTGCAAAGGTTATAACTTTGCCCTAACAATAGTAATAATAATAGTGAATGCATTCTGTGCACTTACTCCACCAGGAGCTTCTTTAAGCACTTGTTGTGTATTAACTAACGTGGCCCTGCACCAGGGTTGGAGAGGTGTTCTTTTCCATGCCCATTTTACAGATGAAGAAGTAGAAGCACAGAGGAGTCAGGGGACTGGCCCAAGACCATGAAGCTAGTCAAGTGAGGGGGCAGGTTTCTGACCTAGGTGGGCTGCTCCAGAGGCCACCCACCTGGCACAACACATCCTGATGCTTCTTGGCGGTACGGAGAAATGCATTTGCAGCAGCCTCGGCCAAGGAGCAGCTTTGTCACCTGTATTTTTGCTCAGAGGACTCACGTTAGGCCTCTCCCTGGAGTCCACCTGGGTTGCAGATGGAGGTCAGATGCCTGAGGGCTGGCTCAGACAGGTTGGAAATTAAGCGTTGGTAGGGGCCTGGAAGAGGCTGAGGGAAACTTGGTTGCACTGCGCCTGCTCTGAGCAGGGAATCAGAGTGTGACCCATCTTCCATCCTGCTCTGATCAAGAAGGAAGGGCCCTGTGAGGAGCTGACCCCATGGCCAAGCAAACAGGAGTTGGGGAGTCACACAGACCCAGCTCCTCCTTCATGAGGAATGACCTTGAGCGAGTTCCTCTATTCTCAGGTGCCTCACCTGAAGACAGGAGGAATGAAACTGTCCTATAAGATGAGCCTGGGCATTTATTTTGATTTGGAGCATTGAGGAAATAATATGAGAGAAGCACCTATGTTGCAACCAGCACATAGCAGGGGATCAAAAAGAACAACTTCTGTGACTGTCGCTGCTGCTCTTGTTACTGTTTAGAGAGTGGCTTCCACAGTAGAGTGCATGCACCCCAGGCATGTAGAAAGAAAACATCACAACTGCTACTGACATTTGTTTTCAGTCTCATCCTTTCCTAATGTAATTTCATACGTACAATACTGCATACACAATAAGTAAAAATCCATATATTGAGGGAGTGCCCAAAAATGTTCTGATGAAATTTAAAGACCGCTGGATTAGGGCTGGACTAATGACCAGACATGTGAGTGGAGGGGAGGGGAACAGAAATAGGATCAAAACTATAGTTGCCCCGTTTTGGCCAAGGACTTGGAGATAGGTTTTTCTGGGAATACTGGCAATAGTTGTTTTTGGTAGATGCATGGGAGATGCAGAGTGTCCAAATGGCCGCACACAGGAAAGTCAGCAGATGCTGGAATCTGGTGTGCTTTAGAGTGAGGTAATTATGAAACTAAAACAGTCTCGGCCTTTAATCGTTAATCATCCTGACCCTCACAGGTCAGCATCCACCGACCCCCCCACCCTCTCCTCCCACGTGCTCTGCCACAGCAGGCCTAGTGGTCCTTTTGGAACTGAAAGTCTGCTCTGGGCACTCCCAGGGGCAGAGCCCTCAGTGGCCCCACCCGCCTGAACAGAACCCAAGCTCCTGTGTGGCCTGCAAGGCTCCTTGCTCTCCCTCTTGCCCTTCGCTCCCTCATCTCCAGCACTGCCCCTGCTCACTACACCACAGTGTTCTGGATGTTTCTCTGCTTCCCACACACGCCTACTCCTTACTGCATGCTATTCCCTTGGGCAGATACACTTACTTATCCCATCAGCGGCTCCTCTCTCCTCAACCTTCAGGCCCCAGAGCAGATGCTTTACCCCAGGAGAAACACCTTTCTTCACAGCCCTATCTCAGGTTTATCCCCTGCCGCCCTCGGTTACTCTCTTCTGTGGATTTTCCTCAGCGCACTTGTCACTCTCTGAAAGGATCTTGTTCAGACTTTTATTTCCCGCTGCTGCCTGATGTTCCCATGACTCCTAAGTGCCTGGCACGGAGAGGCTCCCAGAAAGATTTGTTCTATGAATGAATCAGAGTGAGGGCATAAAGAGGTCCTGCCCAAGGTTACTCAAATAAGCTTTTTAAATTAAAAAGCCTTTCCTCATACTTCAGCTCCCGTAGTTCTCCCAAGAACCCAGTGAAGTAGATGTTATCATCGCGTTTGTCAGGAAAGAGTTCCAAGAAGTGCCTGGCCCAACTCATTCTGCTAATGAGCAATCCAGCTGCCCTGGGGTTAGGCTGTCTCAGTCCCCAGAGTATACCACACTGATGAGTCCGGTATTGCATTATTTAGGTGTCATCCTTGAATACGTGATTTTACAACATGATACTGCAAGTAAACACATCCATCTTTTCCTTGGCTCTGCTTCTAGAAATTGATTTGGAAAGTGTGCAGTTTCTAAGAATATAAATGAAATCTCCGGTGGTTGTTTTAATTCACCAAATTGCAGTTTGAAATGTTTAGGTTGGCATTAATGCTGCTTGTATTTATTTATGAACTATCCAGTGCCTACGTATAAAAAGCTTCCTGAGAACGTGCAGCCCAGATTCCTGGAAGACGAAGGCCTTTACATCGGGGCAAGACTGGAGGTGCCGCGCACCAATCAGAACATCATGGAGAACAGACTGCTGATGCAGGAGCCTGTAAGCGCACAGCCCCTGCTCCCAAGTGGAGCCCCGGAGCAACTCAGAGAGGTTATTTTTCCTGACGGGGCAGTCACGGCACCATTGAACTCATTTCCTCTTGAGGGTGTCTACAGATAGTGGTTCATTGTCTTTTTTTCATTTGTGTCTCAATACGCTTAATGATCCTCAAATAACACAACCTCTCCACTGCTCAAAATCCATCTTCTGCTGGCTGGATTCAGGCTTCTACTGCCAAATCCAATGTTGGAAGCCTTTTCCCATTCACAGAAATGTGTAATTGTCCAAAGATAAAATGTCCTCAATTGTTTTTCTCCTGGTTTTTTGTTTTCTGTTTTTTAGGAAGATTAGCCCTGAGCTAACATCCACCACCAATCCTCCTCTTTTTGCTGAGGAAGATTGGCCCTGAGCTAACATCTGTGCCCATCTTCCTCTATTTATATGTGGGACACCTGCCACAGCATGGCTTGATAAGCAGTGCATAGGTCCGCACCCAGGATCCGGACCAGTGAACCCCTGGCTGCCAAAGCAGAGCATGTGAACTTAACTGCTACACCACCGGGCCAGCCCCTGGGGGGGGGGGGTTCCCTTAAGTTTTTAATGAATAGAAAATAAATTTTTTCTTAGGCACTTACTTAGGCTTTTTCTTAAGTTTTTTTCTGGGGGTGGGCGGTAAGGACTATATCTTAAATTAATTGTGGGGGGCATTAGTGGTGACTCAATTTCTGATGGATACAGAGACTAAAAGATTTATGGGGCAGAGGAGAAGGTGCATGAAAAGTGTACGTTGACACAGAATTTCCCTGCAAATGCTGTTTATTTTATAAACTATTTTCTGTCCGATTAGAAGGAAATGTTGTCCTTCCCTCTGCTTGATCCGCAGGGGAGAAGGTGGTTCGGAGATGATGGCAGAATCCTGGCACTGCCAAACCCCATCAAGCCCTTTCCTTCAAGACCACTAGTGTTGTCACAAGAGCAAGACATCAAGGCAGAACTTGAAACATTGTATAAAAAGGTAAGCCCCCCATTGTTTTCCCCCTGAGGAAGATTCGCCCTGAGCTAACCTCTGTGCCAATCTTCCTCTGTTTTGTATGTGGGTTGCCACCACAGCATGGCCACTGGTGAGTGGTGTAGGTCTGTGCCTGGGAACCAAACCTGGGCGGCTACGGTGGAGTACACTGAACTTAACCAGCAGGTCATGAGGCCAGCCTCAGGAACTGCCTCCCATTTTTTTTTTTTTTTTGGAGGAAGATTAGCCCTGAGCTAACATCCACTGTCAATCCTCCTCTTTTTGCTGAGGAAGGTTGGCCCCTGAGCTAACTTTATATGTGGGACGCCTACCACAGCATGGCCTGATAAGTGGTGAGTAGATTCGCACCTGGAATCTGAACCAGCAAACCCCGGGCCACTGAAGCGGAACGCACAAACTTAACCACTGTGCCACCAGGCCAGCCCCACCCCCCATTTTTAATACTTGAATTTGCTTAAAAGTGCTTTCCTTTTTGGATAGCTTGGGGTACTGAGTTTGTAACATTCTACTTTGATTTGGTTTTTTTTTAATTCACTATCTTACGCATAAAGAACAAACAGCAAGTATACTGTATAAGAGCGAGTCTGCTGCGCTCACCTGAGCCCTTCTTAAACGAGGACTGAGTTCCCAGGTAGGAGTGGCTCAGTCAGCACCTTTGTTCGCACCCCCAGGTCAGCTGCCCTTAGTTTCCTTCTTTTCTCTCTATCCTCTCACATATGCTGCAGGATTATTTCCTGCTCGTTGTCTCTTTATTATATACCTGGAGATTTTCCATCCTTGCAAATCCCTTTTACTGTGTTTTCCTAAGCTCTGGTACCACACTGCCTGACTGGAGTCCTGGCTCTACCGCTCATTGGGCAAACCTGGCCCTCCATCTCTTGGTGCCACAATTTCTTCATCTGTAAAACGGGCTTAATGATAGTATCCACTTCCTAGGACTGTGGTGCAGATTGGTTGAGATAATACATATAAGTGCTTAGAACAGAGCTCAGGAAGTGCTGGCTACTCTTAGCCAGAGTTGCCAGCCTTTGTGTTTAATTATATTTCTCTTGCTTTCCTGAAGTGCTGAGCAAGGAGCACCTTCTTCGGAAACCCATGTAACTTTATATCTGTAACATTTCAACACAGATAGAGTAAAATAGAACATGCGGATATAATGATCATTCTAGAAAACAGGATGATGAGCAGAAAAGACACAGGTGCAAGTCAGAAAATCAGAGCAGAGTCAGGATGTCTTACTAACTAGTTTGTGGCTTTGGGCAGGTCCCATTACCTTTCTGGACCTGTTTCCTTAATTGAAAAATGGGAATAATAATAATCTTCTCCACCTCATAGGATCATTGTGAATATTAAGATGATGTATGGTATGCCCTTTTTTTAAATTGTGAGTTTCTATAAAATATTGTTATTACAGACAAGCATTACTGAGTGTCTACATTGTGCAGAAATGTGATCCTGGAAGTAGAGTTACAAAAAAGCATAAACCTAAGTCCCACTTCCTGAGGAATTTATCATCTATTTGCTTATACGACAAAGATACATGACATAATTAATGATCAAGACAGTGTCAAGTTATGCATGTATCTAATAATCCATCAGTCCATCTCTTCATCCATCTATCCATTTCAGCATGAAACACTGATATAATGAAGCACTAAATTATGGGTTAAAATTAGAAAATAGAAGAGTAATTACTATGGAGAGTAGGTTATTGAGGGAGCCAATTAATCTCATCTCTCCCTTTAGAAGTTCTGAACTAACTGAGAAATGCACAGGAATTAGAGAGAGATGCAGATACCAGCTGCACTAAAGGGGAAACTGGATGGCAGAATGCCACTGGAACCCAAGACCGGATGGGCTTCCTGCTCCATCTCCCGTGAAGTATGTTCCCCGTCTAGACAGAGATGGGCAGCTAGAGAACTGCCCGGTGAGTTCCTCACACATAGAGCTGAGGAGAACACACAGGGCCAGTGAGCAGGCTCTCCAGGAGAAAGCTAAGAAGGGACAGCCAGAGGCCACCTGGTACCAGCAGGGAACCTGGACCGATGGATTTTGTGCTCCAGCTGACTCTGCAATCAGCCACATTCTTTCTTCTCTCCTGGGAATGAACCAGTAGGGATGCGAGATTAGAGAGAGAGGCCCAGAGAGTGTCTTCCCAGTACTTTTGAGAGGAGCAGAAATAGGAAAGTAGAGAGAATAGTTTCGCTAAGATGGGCTGGTGGTCCAGCATCACAGCGCAGAAGGAGATAGAGAAAGGAGAAATCCAAGGGGCTGAAGTCTTCCAAGGTCATTCCTTAGAGGGTCAGGCTCTGAGCGTAGCAAAGCCTGAAGAATGTATTACAGTGCATCAGAAAAACGCAGCCGGCCCAGTGGCGGAGTGGGTAAGTTCCTCCGCTCCACTTCGGCAGCCCAGGGTTTCGCGGGTTCAGATCCTGGGCGCGGACATGGCACTGCTCGTCAGGCCATGCTGAGGCAGCATCCCACATAGCACAACCAGAGAACCTAGAACTGAAGTATACAACTATGTACTAGGGGCCTTTGGGGAGAAGAATAAAAAATTTTAAAAAAGAAAACAAAGCAGCAGAAGGATTTAAATTTGAGGGAGGAGCTATTGTACCTTTTCTCTGTTTCTCCACAGCAGGTTACCTGTTAAGTTTCCTGTTGACATGGATACCTCAGTCTTTTTTTTAAACATGGTTGTGGAACATTTCAGTGATTCAAAACACAGCGCATTTCTTCCAGAATTAATATTTTTATAATTTTATTTATTTACTTTTACCTTTTCTACATGTATTCAGGTTGGTCTGATGCCAAAACCCATGTTTTCCCCTCTGTTCTATGTAATAGGCTTGCCTTTAAGAAACAATTTTAAATGCCGATGGCCTATGTTTTCAGTCTTATGTCTAAACATACCTTCCCTCTAGGACTTTTCACATGATGCAGGAGCAGAGAAATAAATAGGCAGCGATTGTTTATTCATAGGTTGTTAGTCCATCTTCTTTCTCCCTCCCCCACTACCCTGAGAGAGACTCAAGGGCAAGGAGTTTTATTCTTCTTCTAAACCTAGCACTTAGCAGGAAGCCTGGCACATAGTGACACCTCAATGAAAGTGTGAATTGAATATCGTTAAAATGATTTAGCTGAGCTCAATGTATCTAAAAGAAATTTCTGCTTTTCTACTCTCCTCGGCTATCTCTCTTGCAGAACAGTAGCTTTCCTAGGACCCAGCTTAATCCTATCATTCACGATTAAGGATTCAGGATGATGAAAACCAAGTCAGCATTCTAGATGAGGAGTTGGCAATTCCTTGGGTCCTTAATGGGGTTTTGATGAATTTATGCCTCAGAGCTCTCAGGTCTGATGCTAACCCAGCTGGATTGACCAAACCCATCCCCCATTAGAGTCAAGCCCGGTTGTTCTTTGGTTAGAAATACTAGACTGTCAACTCAAATGATGGATTGTATGTCCTCCCATTAGATGATTTAAGAGTTTTATTTGGAAGAGAGTTGGTATTCAGCCCTACTTTTTTGAACATCTTTCTTAATTACAGAGGAAAAAAGTAGTTTTTAGAAGTGAAATATTCTGCTCTTCCTAAATTGAGATCCTTTTTTAGAGACTATTAAAAACAGAGAAATGCAAAAAGAGATTGTGCGAAGAACAAAGTTAAACCTGAAATGAGAAAGATGAATGCAATTTAATACATCTTAAGAAGGAACTAATCTAAAAATAAAATATAAAAATGCCAAATGGGACATTGCAGGTAAAACATAAACAATATAAATGTAGTCTGCCTAATCACGATAGCGAAGTGGGGTTGGGGTTGTTGAAAGGAGCCCAGACAGCCTCCTTTCCCCTGCCTCCCATCCTCCCTCCGTCCCTCCTTCCTTCCCCCTCCCATCTTCCCGCCCTCCCTTCCTTCCCCCTTTCTTCCTTTCCTCCTACCTTCCTTCTTTTCTTTTTTAGTCTTTTCATCCTTAACTGAAAGTCTACTATACTCTTAGTTGTGCTGAACTCTGGGAATACAGAGGTAGTAACATTCAAACTTGGCCTTTGAGAGACTTTGTGCCTAGTGTGGGGAGAGGGGAATGTCAACAAGTGTTAAAGACATGGATTAGCATTCCCAGGAGGCATATATGTAGGAGCCTCCTCTTTTTCAAAACTGCACACCAATTTGAGAAATTTATCATGATTCCAACCTCCTTGTTAATTACTACTTGATAAAATGATCACTTTCCCCTTCCACTATTCTCATCAATTTTTCACAGAAGCATCGGTCACCTACTATGTTATAAGCACTGCATGAGTCAGCACTCTTTGGGTTGTAAATGACAGAAATCCAAGGCAAACTAGCTTAAGCAAAGAGAGAACTTGGTAGCTCACAAAACTGGGAAAGATATGGAGATAAATCGTAAAACTGAAGGAGGGGCTTTAAGAACCAGGGCCTCAGGGGCTGGGAACAAGGACTTGTTCCTGGGGACAAGGGCTGGGAGCTGGTCTCTCTCCACCTCTCTTTTCTCTGGTCCTCTTGAATGTTGACTGGCCTTAGTCTCTCTTACTGCAGGCGAGCCAGAATTCTCTGTGTTAGGGGACGCGACCCTTGATAAGTTTAGCAACCCCAGAGGAAAGGGGTCACATTTTCCATCAAAGTTCACATTATTAATACCAAGGACAAACTGGTCAATTGTAAGTTGGACATATGCTCACCTACCTCAGGTCCTGGAGACACGCCTACAAGATGGAAAATGAGAAAGCTTCCCAGGGAAGACCAGAACAGCAGCTATAGAATCTACTACAGACTCTGGGCTGGATTCAGGCTCTGTTGCTATTACTTTCCCAGGGCAAATACAGAAACCTGTATTTAATCCCAACAATAATTATTCTTTTTCTGTACAACTTTTGAGTTTTTTTCTCCATTGGCATGCATCTCTGTACATGCTAAGAACATCAGCAGATAATCCAGACACATCACCTCTGATAGTTTTGGTTTTTGGTTTCAATTGAAGACTGAAAAACCAAATCAATTTCAAAACTGAAATCATATACCCTATAAATATTATTTATTCTTAGGGGAAATTGTTGCTACTGTTTTTGTAATAGTTCTCAGTATATAACAAAGGAAAGCAGATATAACAAAAACAAGGAATTAAGGCTCTTTTTCCCTAATAGGAAGAGAGTTTGGGTCTTTTAAGCAGTCTAGCCCAATGACTACCAGGAGTCTTTTTTTTACTTGGTTGAGCTGAGCTTAAGCAGAGATCCCCAGCAACCATGTGACCATGGGTTAATGCAGATTTGAGGAAGGAGACACAAAGAACAGGTGACCTGGGTAACATTACAAGTAAATAGAACCGTGCTACCAATGTTACTTACTCAGACCGAGAAGAGTACAAGATGGAACCTGAGAGCCACACCCTAAGCGATGTCATAACCCTGGAAGCCCCTGGTAAGAGGAAAGGCAAGGCAAGAACCAGCAGGAGCAAAGCCATTAGAGAAGAATTTTCCACTAAGTCTGCAGATTGACATTAGTTGTACATGTCTTTGTGAGATGGAAATTTCTTAATTAATCCAGTTAGCCTGGGTGATCATAAGACAAATAGAGGCCACATGCAGATTAAAAACTGCTTATAGGGAGGAAGGTTATAATTGAATACTTTTACCCAAATGAAAGGGGGAAGAAATGGGCCTCCATCATTTTAGTCTGAAGTATAAGGATATTAATGATCAGAACTAGGACTTTCATAATGCACAAAATATCAATGGCATATGATCCCTGTTGGGGTGGTCTTTCCTCCCTATAAATCCAAATGGAGATTCAATTCAGCATATTTCGGAAGGTACTAAGATATAGTCAATCCATTCCTGTTCAACCCTACCATATTTGTAAACCCATCCCAGTTTTACAAGGACTTTTTTAAAAACAAAATTCTGTAGGTCTTCTCATCAAAGACAGACTGAAGGTTATTTATAGGAGAAAATTTATTTTATTAAAAAAAATGTAGGATACACTGTATTGGAGTCCTACAGGAAATCACAAATCCTAAATATATATTAATAGTCTACTAATCTGGGGGAAAAACTATGAAATTGAATGCCTAAAAAGAAAGAACTCATATATTCTTATTTGTGAATACCAGTACAAAGCAGACAACACAACACAATGACACATTTACTAGTAAATGAAGACTCATATGTATATGTTTTGCTGTAAATGCAAATATTGGTGCTATTTCAATGACTACAGTAACCGAAAAGCAGATAACACTATATAACAAATGTGAATACATTTCTGTACATATATACATGCATACGTGTATTCACACTCTCCCACGCACACACACAATCTGGACCTCCTTTCTCTGTTGTTAGTCTGATAAGGGAGAATGTTAGAATTTTATAATCTAGGATTCTACCTCTGGAATTCCCTCCTCTGCATTTCCATCCCTCCCTCTGCACATCCCAAGCTTTATCCCTTCCACCTTATGTTATAAAGATCAGATCCCTGTTTTCCCCTCTAAATCTATTGCTGCTTGAAGACTGGCCCCACTGCATTGTAGATGCCCATTCAACTCTGTGGAATAAATGAGGTGACATATGTGAAGTGCTTTATATAATGCCTCGTGATCTACAAAATGCCAACTGGATCTTTTTCCTCAGCCTCCCATTTCTACAGATGAAGAAATAGAAGCACAGACATGTGTAGTGACTTGCCTAAGTTTCCAGAGCAAGCTAGAGAGAGAGCCAGAGTTAGGATCCAAGACTTCTGGCCCCAGTTCAGCATCTTTACATGATAACATGTAGAAGAATTAAATGAAGAGATTACTGAACACGTCACCCACAATTTATGAAAGATAGAAGCTTCAATTCTGACTAGAGTATCTTCAGCTTCCATTTAACTTCATACATTGTAAATAATACATTTTTGCCACATAATCTTTTATTATCATTTTTCAGATAATATAAATAGCTTCCAAAAGCTCCCCTCTGCAAGAAGGGAGGATTGATGGAGTGATGGGTCTCAAAGCCCACATCCTGACTACAGTCCGTGACTATAATGAAAATGAAGACACAAAATCAAAAAGGTCTCCTCTCCACCTTGGAGCTCCCCAACTGCAAACGCTAGATTCCCATAAGAGCAGTAGTGATCAATGTAGAATATCTTGAAGATTTTGTGGAATGAAAACAGAGAGATTTATCTGATACACTGTACACCCAAGTGATCCAGGAAAGTCCCAACAGAAAAGTCCATTCCTGTTTTCTATACACCCAGCTGCTCCACCTCCCTCTTCCTCTGTTAGTTTGCAGACTGACTTCCTTCCTCCCAGGAAAACTAGGCGCCAGCGGGAAGCTTGGTTCAGCAAAAATGAGTCTCTGGCTGTTGTCTAGAAAATAAAACTTTCTCCACATAGAGAGCGTATTTGTGATCCATATAATGATCAGTTTGGACTAGAATCGATGCTTCTCTCATTAAAACGATTTCAACATCACCAGCTACAAAACTCAAGATTTCAAGAAACAGGATAACTTACATGACAAAGATTGGAACTACGACTTGGGAGAGAGAAAATTTAAAAGACATAGGAAAGCAACATGGAAATGATGTCTTTTCTCCCTCCTTGTCCTTCATTTTACTCTTCAAGAATTCAGGAAAGAGCAGACCCCTCAAAGCTCCAGGAAACAGGGAGTAGAACATCCTTCTCCTGGCTTGCCCGGGCAGGAGGCATTCTGCATCTGAATGTTTGACTGTTTTCCTGTTGCGCATGAGATCATTATCTAGTAAGTGCTCTGACCATGTTCCCCACACACTCTGCTCTCTTTGGCAGGCAGTAAAGTATGTCCACAGAAGTCAGCATATGATCGGATCTGGAGACCCTCCCGGAAATTTCCAACTGGACATTGATATTTCAGGGTTAATCTTTACTCATCACCCTTGTTTTAGCCGGGAGCATGTTTTGGCAGCCAAGTTGGCCCAATTATATGACCAGTACCTTGCAAGACGGCAGAGAAACAAGGCAAAATTTCTTACTGATAAGGTACACCCTTCTGTGCTTATCGTTGACAGGGTTGGTTTTTCTGACGAGCCCAAACCACAGCAGCCAGTGTTCATGTGCCTCTTTCACACGTTCCCTCTGTCTAGGATGTGTGATATGTTGTCTTACCTAGAGGCAAGAGGAAGGCTATGAAGATGTACATTTAACATGTGCAAATTCAATGGCACACACTTGGCTTAAAGAGAAAGATCTGTGCAGACAGTGCAAGTGATTTCACCACCAGGAGTGGGTATTAGATGGAAGATACGTGGCTGTGTCTTGCTTATGTGATCTCAGATGCTGAGACCATTCATGGCTTGAGACTCTCTCTGTCCTTAGAGACATTCTCATTTTTATATGTAATTTCCTATAACATGATACCTAAACACAAGTCAGTTGTTTCAATTAATGCTCAAAGAAATGGCTATTTGTTCTGGATTTATTTCCAATGTGATTCTATCCTGTAGAATTTTCACAACTAATTTTGACTATTGGCAATTTTAGTCTCATGCCGACTAAAACCTTACTGCCCAAATAAGAGATAATGCCACAATACCTCCTTTTATGAGTCTATAATTTTATGACCTCTTCATACCACAAGAACATCATTGTATATCCAGGACCCAGTAAGATCTGCTTTTAGTCTTCAAAGAAAATTTGTTTCTGAGGCACACACGTAAAAGCAACATTTGTCATAAGCAGCTCGATTATCTGGGCCACAGAACAAGGATAGAAATAAACCATTCTTTACTATTCCTTTTATTTTTTTTTTAAGAATAGAAGAAATAGCTGTCTGTCAAAGTTCACTTTGGTGAAAGTGTGGAGACAGCTAGATGCTTGAATGTTCATTCACAGGTTGCTGGCATCATTTTGCCCTGGAGAAGTGGGTGGGTCCAGGTAACTAACCTGCAGTAGGGACAAGAGTTTCTAACTCAAAACTTGTATCCATATCTTTTTAAGCTTCAAGCTCTAAGAAACGCTGTTCAGATGAGCCTTAATCCAGCAAAAACTCCTAAGTCTCTTGATACAACCCGAAGAGCCATCAATGAATATAAATCTGAAATTCGGTGAGTAAAGTCTGTAACTGTAACTACTGCTCTTTTTTTTTTGTCCTGTTAGATATGCTGTTGAGAGTTTATTTTCTCAGTTTTTCTGAATGCACCGAACCCCATGAAATTAAGCCAAATGAAATAATGAGACATGTCCATCATTTAACACCAAATTTGAAGTCCAATAAAAGAATGAGGATGTGGGGATAGGGTAACTCTCAGATTCTGTTGGTGTGAACAAATGCCAAAGCCACCACTCTAGAGATCAGCTTGGCCAATAGATGAGCAAAGTATTGCAAATACCCGTAAGCTGGGCCCCGGCAATTCGGCTTCAGATATGTGTACTCTAAGGGGCTACCTGCACATGTGCACGTGGAGACGTGGGCAAGGATTTCACGGCACCATGCGTAAAAGAAACTAGAAATAAACCCCTACCAGAATGGACACATCTGGTATAGTCTTACGCTGAATGTCTATACCACAGTTAAAATGACTGAATTAGACCTGTATGTATCAATATGGATAAAACAATGTTGAATGAAAAAAATTCAGGTGTAAGAGGATACTCGCTGTGTGAACAGTTCATGAAACCTAAAGAATACTTGGAACAATGCTCATTTGTTCTAGGAACACACATATGTGGTACATGCGGACGGAAAGGACACATGCAAGTTTCTTCCTCCAGAGATGGAGGGAAGGGAATGGAATGGGGGACATCTTCAAATCTAACTATAACATTTTATCAGAAAGAAAAACAAAACCCTGAGTAAACGTGACAAAATATTAACAAGCATCATATTATTTATTATATGTACTTTTCTATCTCTTGGAATTTTTCATAATTAAAATTCAAAAATTAAAACCCTGATCATTGCCAAACAATAAGGAAATAATTAACATAGAATGTGAACACCTTCTAGAGTCCCATCTCTCAGGGAAAATCATGGGTAAAACTTTTTGCTAGTTCTTCCATATGTATATAAACATTGTGTGTGTGTGTGTATAAACTCATACATACATACACAGATGTGTTTATGTGTATATACTTTATTTCTTTAAGGAATTACATTACACTGACCATCTTGCAACTTGCTTTTTTATGTAAAATGCATCTTAGACCTTTTCCTATCACAGCACCTCTGGGTCTATATCATTGTTTAAAGGCTGACATGATATAGGTCTTACATCCCCTATTGATAGGCATTTGTATTATTCTTATTTTTTACTATTTACACTATACTCTAACTAACATTCCTATATGTATGTATTTGTGTACTTGTGTGAGTATTTCCACAGAATAAATTCTTAGAATAGGAATTAAAAGTCAAAAAGTTTAAATGATTTCTTTTCTTTTTCTTTTCTTTTTGCAATCTAGCCTTGAGTTATAAATTCTTCCAGCAAAGTGGAAATTAGTGATGTTTATATACCATAGTTATAAAAGTATGAAGAGTATGTTTTAAAATGAAAATTCTTATTTATGTTAAAAGAAAAATACATTGCAGCCTCCTTATGAAAGTAATTTTTGTTTTAGCATATGTTGGGTAAGAAAAAGTGACAAAAAGCTGTTCTGAATGCAATGATAGTTTTAAATGAAATTGTATTTATTAGTCAGTATTTGAAAAATGGTAGCAGAACCGTGTGTGGGACCTACAGACAGTGGACCCAGTGGACCCATGGATAGCAGACTCATGCAATCATTCTGTGGCCCCAGAAGATAAAAACCTCCAAGACTCAGCATTTCTGATCCAGTGAAAGAGTGGCCCTTAATCCTTTACTGATTTTTCTCTAGACAGTAAAACAAATTCTAAGCAGATGATCTGTTCCTGGATGTATCATCAAGTGGACCCATTCCCTTAAGCCCCCTGGGGGCTGCTGATCAGCTGCTCTCAAGCCCCCACCCCAGGCATCCATTGAGTCCTTATTGGCATAGCTAACCTCAGCCAGCACCATGCTAAGCGTTTTCCATCTTATTTTCCATCCATAGCATCATGACCCCGTTGCTTGTCCTCTGAACTGGAACCTGGCTATATAAGAAAGGAAACATGGATGTTCATGCAATATAGGGAAACACTGTTTTAACCCTCTCAACTGGATCTTTACCCTCAGACATGCTCAATCTTGAAGAAATGAAAATCCCATGACCCCAGATCCCCATCCAACTACCACTTATCTCTGTATTTCTCTTCACAGCCAAACTTCTGGAAAACATTTATCATTCATGTTGTCTCCACTCCCTCACCTCCCATTCACTCTGCAACCCATCCTGTCTCACTCCTGTACCCACCTTACCTCTGAAGCTGATCTTGCCACAGTCCCTGGGGCCCTCTGTATTGCTAAGTGGAATGGAACCTCCCAGCCCCTCAGGGTACATGGCCTCTTGGCAGTACTGATACCTGTTGAGACATTCTCTTCCCTTCGGCTCCATACACCACCATCTCCTGGATGTCCTTGCCCCTCCAGCCACCTGTCCTTCCCACCATCCTTTGCCTAATCTTCCTCCTCTGCCCAGCTTCTAAATGTTCAGAGTACCTCATGAGTTTTTCCTTTTTTAACCTTTTATTAATCTGCATTTTTCTCCTGAGATGAATCCAGTCCTGTGGTTCCCAAGGCACTCTCTTAGGCAAATCTCATGTTCTATTTTATAGTTATTTATCTATGTTTCTGTGTCCTTAGCTAAACTGTAAACTGCCTGAAAACAGAGACAACTCCTCGCTCCTAGACATTTCTAAGTCCCCTGGAATGACACCTGGTAGTTGCTCAAAAAACAATTGTTTAATTAACTAATCAACTAATTAATTCATGGCATAATAGAGTACATTGGGGTCTGGATTTGGCTGCTATTCATACTAGATAATTCCCAAACACCTTAAATAATGGAAATAAGAATGAAAGCATTTTCAAAGGATGCCTCTTCAAATCAGGCCAAAAATATTGTTAATCTAGTTAGCACTGAAAACTCACCAAGACGTGTGGTGACATTACTTCATCTCCTAAATGTAGAATTTGTGATTCATGTTAACACAGAGAGACTTTAATATATTTGGTGTTAAATAGGACAGCAACATACTTCCCTATATTTACAATAACTTCGTCCATGAAAACTGCATTTACTGGGCCCCTTATTTTCATAACTTCCAAGGTGGCTGTTTGTTTAAGGATGCATAGTATTAATAAGAATTTTTAAAGATAATTTAGTTTAACTGATGTCAGATTCATCTAGAGAAAACAAAATCAAATAAACCTCTCAAAACAGATTGACATCCTATTGTCTTCAAATTTGCTTTTGTATTTTTGGTTTTCTAGTACTTGTTTAGAAATATTGTAGCTATCAAATTAAATATACTATCACTATAACATTATTAGTTTCCTTTTTTATTTGCAAACAAACACGCCTAAATAACTTTTTAATATATACTCGTGTATTATATCTCGTAGGCAAACAAGAAAACTGCGTGACATTGAACAAGAAAAAGATCGAACATTGCTTAAGACCATCATAAAAGTCTGGAAAGAGATGAAATCCCTTCGAGAGTTCCAGAGGTTTACAAATACGCCTTTGAAACTTGTTTTGAGAAAGTAGGCTTTTTTCAAAAATTGTTTTATTGGGTTATATCATATGGAGGAAAAAATGTATAAAACATAGACATAGCTTACAAAATAATTACAAAAAAAGTTACAAATGAATAACCATATAACCATTCCCCAGGTTAAGAAAGAAAACATTACCAGTACCTGGGCAGGCCCCATGTTCCTATCCCCAAATACGTCCCCCTTCACCCCAGAAGTAACCATTTTCTGGACTTTTATGATTAGTGTTTCTTGCTTTTATTTATAGTTTTGCCATCTTTGTGTAATCCCTAAGAATGTACAGTTTAATATTGCCTGTATTTGATGCTTACATAAGTGAAAGTATATTGTTTGTATTCTTTAGTGAATGCACGTGTTTTTTTTCCTTCAATACTGTGTTTGTGAGATCATCTGCTTTATGGCTCATAGATGTAGTTTATTTTATTTGCTTTAGAATACTTCATTATATGAATATAACAAAATTTGTCCACTTTATTGTTGATGGACATTCAAATTGATTCCATTTTTCAACTGTTATACAGCACTTCCACAGACTTTTTGGACATGTCTTTAGGGTACATGTGCCTAAGCTTTCCAGAAATATACCTGGAAGTGAAATTGTCAAGTCTTCGGGGATGCACTTCTCCAAATACTTATTTGCTGATTCCAAACGCCCTCCCAGAATGCCTGTGCCCATCTGTATTTTGACCAGTGTTCCTGTTGGTCCATAGGACCCAGAGCACACATGTCACCCGGTGTTGTTACACATTAGCATTTTGCCATCCGATGGCATGTTCTAATTTATATTTCCCATACATGAATTGGCTGTTTTGATTTCCTCTTTTACGAAGTGTCTGTTCGAGCCTTTTGTGATTTTTGAACTGGATTGTTCAGCTTTGTAACCTTTTCATAATTTGTAGGTTGGGCATATATCCTGGACACAAGCGCTTCGTGGATGATGTGCATTGCAGATATCTTCTCCCCCTCTGTAGTTGTCTTTTTACTCTCTCTTTGCTGCTTTTCAATGAATAGAAATTCTTAATTTTAAAGAGAGAGAATATGTTAGTCTTTTCTTTTATGATCGATGCTTTTCGTATGCTGCTTAAGAAATCCTTCCCCTGATTCGTGTGGATTTTCTACTTTATTGTCTCCTATAACCATTATAGTTTTATCTTTCACATTCATCTTCAATACATTTGGATTGATCTTTCTGTATGGTGAAGAGAAAGTATGCTTTGATCACCTTTACGCTGCCTAATTCACTAGACTTTGACACACGATTGAGAGTAGAGTCTACCACAACAAAAACACGCTCTGCATATTAGTCCAAGAGAGTCTCTGCTGCTGGTTTTGGTCCCTTCCTGATTGTTTCTTCTGAATAAGTGTTGTGCCAGCACTTCTACATGAAAAGTGACAAATTTTGGCAATTATCTAATCTTTTGCTTTGAAAACACCCACATCTTAGCCAAAGATAGTTGCAAACTGTTATTTTCTTGGGCTGTCATTATCATAAGACTAAGAAAACATTCTACAGTTTTCAGGACAAATAGGAAACTGTGTGCTCCGTGAGAGCAGGGACCTTATCGCCTTTAGACGTCTGGTCCCCAACAGAGCACCTGCCACTCAGTATCTGCTCAGTTAATGTTAGTTGATGGAAAACAAATTCAAACAGTCTGTCCCACAGAAATCGTGATGTCGCCCAGGAATTCCAGGGTTTCTGCTTCCGCATTTCATCTCCTAGCCTACTTCCCCCACCCAGAAGCAGAACATAAATATTCACCATATTGTTTTCTCCTTCTTACCTTCTTAAGTTTAGGATAAACTAAAATTTATAGGAAATTTACCCTTAAGCTCACCTCAAGGTTGCAAACTTCCTTTTTATGACACTAAACACCTCTTCTCTCCCATAAGTAGCTGTCCTCTAAATTCTTTTGGAGTGCCCTTTTCTCACATTCTTCATTCATGTAGCCACCTTATGATACAGTACAATTTTTTTCCTGCAAAATAGTCAAGTTCCAACCAGCTTATTCATGCTTGTGCATAACAATGAGAAAAGCAAATGCTTTTCAGTATATCAGAGATGGAACATTATTTTTCAGCCAAATTTCCCCAATATTTATAAATTTCAGGTACAACCGTGTATCAAAAGTGATTTCTTCGTAGTATCCTAGAGTCTCTTAGGGGACTGTTAATTGCTAAATCACCAGCTCACACATGTACATAAACAAACATTTGTCAGCTCAAGGCATGTGACTAAGTTTATCCAAAAGGGACAAGGAACTTGAGGAGAGTTGAACCTGCAAGCCAGCCACACTGATCACATTAGGAGATTAATGCAGGATGAGTTGCAACAACTCCCAAGTGCTGAGCTGGGTGGGATGTGTTGGGTACGCCTGTTTACCAGCTCCCTCCTGGAGAGTCATACTGTCCATTAACATATAAATGGCTCTGCAAAGACTAGCAACAAGGAAACTCACATCTATTTAATCTCAGGTTGATTTGGCCACAGCACCTTTTTTTGTAGGACATCTCATAGAACCAATGTTCTACAGAACACACGGTGGGGAACACTCCTCTGAGTTGAGCCAAACTCCTGATGGAGTGTTGCAGAATCATCAGAGAAAAACCCAAATTATCAATCCAAAGTCAAAAAAAGTGGTTTTAGGGACTGAGTAGCAACAAATGAAGTGGTTCCTCAGAGACTTGAAGAATTGATAAGATAACTGAAATGAAACTTCTACCACTATCAGTTGAGAATTTAGGGGCACTGTGTCAGTACACCATATGGATTATTTAACTCAGAGCAGCATTGTTGCTTAATAGTAAATAGATTGGGCTCATATTCCAGGTCTTCCTCTCACCAACTGTGTGTTCTTGGACCAGTTACTTAACCTCTCTCTGCCTCAGTCTCCTAGAGTATAAAATGCTGATGATAATAGTATCTGCCTCACAAGGTTGTGAGCTAACATGTGCAAAGCTTTTAGAAGAGAACCTGCAACCCGGCAAGCCTGATACAGGTATTTGCTGTTATTATTACTCTAGTACTTAATTCCAAGAAATAATCAAGGTACTGTAAATTATTTTAAAGGGAAAAAGTGGACCAGAAAGCAGACGAAGAAGCATATGAAGCAGAAGTTCAAGCTGAAATAAGTGAACTATTGGAAGAGCACAGGGAAGAGTATGAACAGAGGATGGATGAATACAGAAGTGCCCATCAGCAGTGGAAAGCCTGGAAGAAAGCCCAAGTATGTAAACAGTCGCTCAGCCTTGAGCAGGGCTGAGCTTGGGGCACCCCTTGAGACAGGAGGAGGCAAACTGGGGTCTCCTGCAGGCTCTGCTCTGTTTCCCTCCCTGCCCTCTTGCTAGGGGGCAAAAGGATGAGCAAATGATTCGTCAATGCACTTGTGTAAAAGGCCACCCAGCTAGCTGATACCAGAGCCAGGTTTTCCATTGACAGGGCCCTGGTATCACTCTGTGGCTATTTGAGTGAACGAACAAGGAACAACACAATAATTGCTCATGTATGGGTCAAACACTATGCTAAGAATTTTACATGCATTGTCCCATTGAACATAGGGTATTGATGCTTTCAGGTTTCCCTCAGGAAATTATATAACTTTGTACACATGACCCAGCAAAACTGAAGCCAAGGCCAGTAAGTAAGAGAGTAGGGTCTGCTGCAATGCCAGTTGTGCTCACAAGACTTACTTTAATTTCAAGATATGTCCTCGGCCTTTAGAACTGATGTTAATGATTACATTAACCAGTAGTGCTAATGATTACACGAATAGCTAGCTTTTTTCAGCTCTTTCTGGGGCCAGGCACTATGATAAGTGCTTTACAGGCATCGCCTCATTTCAACAGCCCTGGGAGGAATTTCCTATGATTGTCCCCATTTTGTAGATGAGAAAACTGGGGCACGGAGAGGTCAAGCGGCTTAGTTACCTGCCTGAGTGCATACAGCTGGTTGCGTGGAGCTGGGTTGACATCCAGGTCTATCTGACTCTGAAGACTGTGCTCTTAAACTCCCAAATTCCTGTTTGATAGAAGGTTGTCTCTTACCCAACAGAGGACCAAGAAGAAGAAAAAGAAACAAGGAGTCGAAGAACATCCTGATGACGAGATGGAGGAACCATATCCTGGGGAGGACCCTGTAAAACCTGTCCCTCCAGAGCCCACCAATCAGGCAGTAATAGAGCAAGAGGTGAGAGAGAGAGCAGCCCAGAGCAGGAGGAGGCCTGGGGAGCCCATGCTGGTCCCGGAGCTGAGCCTGGCGGGGAGCGTGACGCCCAATGACCAGTGTCCCAGGTGAGCAAACACTCAGACCATCAATGAGGTTGACATGTGATGCACACACACTTAGATGTACACATGTGCACACAGACTTGCACACTGGAGCGTATGTCTCCTGACCAACATGGTATGGATCAGGAAAATCATAAATATGTATTAGACTGAATGGTTTGAAATTGCAGATATTTGTCTGTATTTTGGTGATTTCATGTGGTTCACCCACCTAATGCATCCCATTGGCCACTCAGGAGCCCATTACTTGAAGCTGCCCGTAGGAGGCACTCTTCCCAGTGGCTGTCTACGTGGCCTTTGAGTTGGAGCCTTTATCTGTAACCTCAGTGTGTCTTTTCCATCTACTGGTAGCGCATCCCCCGCTCCCTGGCATAGAAACCTAGGTCTTTCATTGGCCCTTGACTGCAGGAGCCCCTTAGGCCAACTTCTCTCTTTGAAGGCCTTGTAGAGCGTTGCACAGGAATTGTAAATATTCCCATACCTATTTACGTCAGGCCATCTGAAGCACACCCTCCAGATTTGATAAAACACATTTCTCATCATTCATACATCAGACCTAAAAGAAACAATCAGAAGCATCACTTTATGTATATAAATCTATACATATAATATTCATAAATACACATGTTCATTCTCTTTTTAAAAATTATAATACAAATATTTTTTAAATTTCCCACTTATTTCTTTCTTAGATCTTATAGAGATAGTTCTCAAAGGGTAGCCCCAGGACCAGCAGCATCAGCATCACCTGGAGAACTTGTTTAAAATGCAAATTCTCAGGTCCTACCTGAGACCTGCTGAATCAGAAACTCTGGGTCAGGGCTCAGAAAACTGTTTCACAAAGTTTCCAGGTGATTCTGATGAATGTTATAGCATATTGTAATCTATTAAAGGGAATCTATTGAAATAACTGATATCACCAGATCCAAGGTTTAATTCTCCAGTAAACAGAAGACCTATAGTGAACACAGGGACTATCTTAGGCTGGAATCTTCAATATTCCAAAATAGAAAGTGAGAATTTAATCCAGTCAGTCATCCTGAGAGATAATTAGGATACAGGGATGAATTAGGATGTTATAAGACTTCCTACAACCTCCTTAGTTTCAAACTTCTGTTAACGTGCTAATAATTTATTTTTAAATTGTAACTTCTTGTGCATTTTCATGTGTTCTCTCAACTTCATAGCATTCAGAGGCTATACATAAATAAACTATTCCCCAGCACTAAATTAGCTATTTTCAGGCCACAAATACCATACCACATAATTCTGTAATGAACATTTAAAATATGTGATTACATAGCATGTTTTTAAAGGGAAACTTTGGCCTTGATTTGACAGTGTTTTATGGCAAATCCTGTTTCAACTGAGAATGTATATCTCAGTCTTAAGCTTCTGAGTTTTCACTGGGATTTGGGACTATATCCAGGTTACCCCAAGCCAATGATACAATCGACCTGCTTCATCAGGCCCTCAGGTAAGGGGTGTTTTAGGTGTGTCTGTAGCATGAGGTTACTGAGAATAAGCCTTAAAACAACTCTGAGTGGGGTCTTTGGGTGTCTTGGATACTTCTCGAAATTTGGTGTTAAATGTCCCTTATAGAAAAAAACTGTTCAGGTCATTCAAGCAATTTCATGTCTGGGGTGGGCCTAAATTACAGAGATGTAAAAAGTTAAAACTACCACCCAATTTAATGGGTGCAGATTTCTAGTTGGGATGAAAAAAACATCCTGCAGGAGGATAGCGGTGATGGCTGCGCAACACTGTGAGTGTACTTAATGCCACTAAATTGTACACTTAAAAATAGTTAAAAGGATAAGTGTTATGTTATGTATATCTAACCACAACTTAAAAGAAAATTACCAACCATAAATCCTGAGTGTATTCTGGATTTTTATACTCTAATGTTTTCCTTTCCTTAACAAGCTTGAATTGCGATTGACTTAACCAATAACTGGTGTTTCAGGTGGGTGTCCACAAATAAATGCAATAAAATTAAAGACCACTCTTTGGAGGTTTTGATTTTTGTTTTACTTCCTAGCTATAAGAATGATATGCTTGCCAGGACACCTTTTATTGAGATTCAAATGACCTTTAAAAATAAAGCATATTTCTTAATCTGCTGCATTCAGGGAGCAGTCACTCACCACTGAAAAGTGTTAAGAAAAAGCTTTGATCTTGGAGAAGCAGAGTTGACCTAACTGCTACAATATGCTGTTATATTTTTAGGATAAAATGTACTACCCAAATATAAGTCACCGCTATCCCTTAGGGTTTGAATTTACTCCATTTAACAAATAATATATTTCTGTATACTTAAAACTCTGGGATGCAAACATAAGGCTTGTTTGAAAAAAATTAAGGAAACTATAGAACAACACTTGGACCACGGCTCTCAAATTCCCTGTGGCATTTTCCGTGCCTCTTATTCCTTATCACAGTGAATTATTATATTAAGCTCTGTAAGACCTGCTACTATTTGGGTTCAGTGAGGGCTACAGTGACTGGCAGAGTCGCCTCCAATGCATCTCATTCTGTTCAGTGCCTGGTGGTCAAACACTCCCGTTACCCTTAGCAAAGTCATACTAATCCCAGATGCGAACGGTCTCCCTTTGCAGGGTGGAGGTTTTGCGAAGGGAGGATGTCAAGAGGCGCTCGGTGTATTTGAAGGTGCTCTTCAATGACAAGGAAGTGTCCAGGACCAACAGTCGGCCACTCGGGGCTGACTTCCGAGTTCACTTTGGACAGATTTTCAATCTGCAGATAGTCAACTGGCCAGAGAGTTTAACACTGCAGGTACGCATTTTAATTATAGTCACTGTCACAAGAATCTTTGGGTCATCGTAGGTGCAAGATGGTTTTAAATTATCCGTTGGCTACAATGGTGTCTTGATAGATCCTCAAGGGGAACAGAAGGTGAGGCTCCTCCTGGGCATGTCTGTTCTTATGGTCTTGGCAGGAGATCTGTAACCCCACTCACCTTCTGACAATGTTGGCAGAGTAACTGGCCATAGTGCTCAAGATTCTACCTTGAGACAGGGTCAGGGGATGAGCTGGGTAGGGGATGAGGGAGGAAGGTCTCTGGTTCATTCACTGAAGGAATATTCCACTATCACCCTCTACTAGGACCCTAGCCTAATAAACCAGAGAAATCAGTTAACCACAGTGGTTATGATGGAGGGTGGTACAGGTGTTGGGATCCCTCCCTAAAATAAATAAATCTCCCCACCAGCCTAATTCCCATGATTAGCAATATATTTATTTGTGTTTTAGTTTCCTAGGGCTGCCATAACTAAGCACCACAACTTTGGTGGCTTAAAACAACAGACATTTATTCTCTCCCAATTCTGGAGACCCTGAAGTCTGAAATCAAGGTGTGGGCAGGGCCATGCTCTCTCCAAGTCTCTATAGGAGAATCCTTCCTTGCCTTTTCCAGATTCTGGTGGCTCTTGGAGCTCCTTGGCCTTTGGTACCATAACTCCAGTCTCTGTCTCCATTTTCACATGGCTTTCTCTGTGTCTCTGTGTGTCTCCTTTTTTGTCTCTTACAAGGATACTCTCCTTGGATTTAGGGCCCACCCTAATCCAGTATGAGCTCATCTCAACCTTATACTAATCACATCTATAAAGACCCTATTTCCAAATAAGGTCACATTCTGTGGTTCCAGGTGGACAGCAATTTTTAGAGGACACTATTCAAACCACTACAGTGTCTTAGCCTTGCTATTTTTATGGTGAATCTTCTCTTCTGCCAACAGAATTCTCTTTTATGATCCTAACAGGCCTGTTACCCATGGCTGCAAACATGTGGTACACATCCTTTGTTTGCCATCCACCACCCATGAAGAATCACTAGTCCTCATCCACCACTTACGCAGAAATTTCTCATTCCCATTGACCACCCTTGCCAAAAATGATAATTGATTATGCCATTTTTTTCCCCACTGAGCCCAGATATAACTTCAGAATCTTTCTCAACACAGTACTCTAGGCAGCCACTACCTATTAGTTGTAACTGATGTTAAGTCTGCAGGTACCATTACAATTGTATAATTATTAAAATATTTAAATACTTCCGTACTGAATGGTAAATAGCTGCCACCCTGGCCACATAGACCCCATTTCCAAGATCATCTGGACCTTCCCACAATGGACCAGTTAAAGGGTCTGTCTGAACGAGGCTAATGCTTCCAGGACCCTGTTCCCATGTATGGCTGACGTATCTTCTGATTGGTTAGCATTTGGCCGTGTGTATTGTTCAACATGTTGAATATCAACACCTGCCTAGACCTCAGTAATTAAAAACCGTCTAAAACTGGTAGAGGAAGCTTGAGAGAGCTAAGATAGGGAGTTCTTTTGACAATGAGAAGGAAGCACAGTAGAAATGCCTGGGATGAGATTAGGGATGCTAAGAAATGGGATGGGGACTCTGAAAGGGTCAGGTGGGCACCGAAGGTCAACCACCTTGGATTGGATTTTCCCAGAGACTGACAGCTTTGTCCAACACCTTTTCATTTGTGACCTGGGGATGGTGAGGGCAGAGGGTGATCCTCATTTACAAAGAACCAAGTTCAAGACTCTCCTTTGTCATACTGATAACAGCATTGATATCTATCCACACAATTCAAAAATGTTTTTCTTGTAATTTTAGAACTTGGCTTAGTCCAGTCACTCAAACAATTCTTTGAAACCCCATCTAATTTTTAAGAAAATGTCTATATATACTAAAACCTGAAAAAAATAGAACTTGTTTTGTTGCTAAACTTACACTTAATAAGGGTGAGGAGAACGCAAGAACATTTATTAAGTAAAGGATGGTGTTAGAAAGAGGATTGGATTTGGAGGTTTGGTGAAAACCTGAGTCTTCCTTAAACCTAAAAATTCCCTCTCTGAATATCATCCATGGGAAAATAATCTCTATATTTCTAATCTTCCCCCCTTGGTTTACAACTCTTTACGGATACAGAGAATTAAATGGGGGTGACTTTGCCTGAAGGTGAGAGTGGAGAGTCACCCAGCTCTGCACTGGGAAGGTGAGCTGGTGATCTCCAGGTGGATGGCCAGTGGGCATACCCAGTCCTGACACCCCTGCTCTCAGGAACTCAGGTCACACTGACTCTCCATCCAGTATCCTCTGGTGCCCCTGCTGAGCCTGACTGCCTGGACCAGCAGAAGACTCCTCTTCCTCTGTCCTCTTAGCAAAGTGATGTCTGAGGGGGCTCTGGGATCCTGCTGTCTGGCTTTCATCTCATTGCCACTCCCCGTGAGATGCACCATTATTTGCGCCACTTAACTACAACGCACCACGGATCAAATGACACAGCTTATTTCAGATATGTTGAAATTAGAAAATCTAGCATTCTCTATACCACGGACAGCTCATTAAGAGAGGTCTTTCTTTCCAGGGATGCCTTGCAGCGAGGATCCTGGTGGGAGTGCCCCTCTGTTTGGATGGTTATGGGCTTTGGAAATTTAAAATCTGAATGCCTTGAGGGAAGAGCTGCACTCTGCTAGTTCTGAAGCCCCCTGTCTTCACTGCTTCCTACATGAATCCTTCAGTCCTAGCCCTAAACACATGAGCTTAAGCTACAGTTTAAAAAAAGACACTGCACACAGAAAATTGTCTCAATTAAGAATAAAACCTGATGGAGAAAGTAAATAAACACAAAACCCAGAAGCCAGCTTGATGCTTTGCTGTCACCTGCCTTTAATAATGAGGGTTTGCTGGGGGCCCCTATATGAGTCTCTCTCATTCTACATCCACAGAACAGCGAAGATTTTGGTTATTCAGAGTGTGCCCCCTCGTTGGAGGGGGCATCCTTAACTCGTCCTCCCCATTCCTCTCCTGCAGAGGAAAAGCTGATATAAAGAAGACCAAGATTAATGTGAGAAGACCAGATAGAGAGCTAGAGCAAAGAGAGAGAGACAGCAACAGAGGATGATATGGCAGGAAGGAGAGGGAGCCCTGGAAGGGGAGACCCCACTGAAGAGTCTGGAAGATGGGAGAGAAGGCCCCCCCCCACCCCTCCCTAAGAGCTGAATCATGTAATCTTCTTTTTAAAATTACAAATTAAAGGAGTCTTGGCTAAGTTCTTAAGCTATCTAGAGATTTGATAACTGATCAAATCACATATCATAATGGCTTAACAGCATAATTTTTATGATTGAGTAGTGGTTACAGATGAAATTAATTTAGGGAATATTGTATTTCAACTCTTGAGGAATAGTACTATGCCTTTTGGAAATTTTCCATATAATTGCAAGTTTTTAGTTAGAGAGTTTCAAGAATTACTGCCAATTGTAAGACAGGGTAAGAAAAATCGCCTTAAATGCATCTGTTTGAGCCAGTGCTATCAAATTCTGAACTTTAGAGCCTAAAGTATTTCAGAAAAAGTTCTGAGATTCTCAAAACTATAATGCATCACTTGGTGAATCAACAGGCAAGCCATGAATGTTTGTCGTTTGATTGTTAAGAGCCAGCTTAGTGTTTGATACTGAACCAGGAGTGTGGTGGAGAATTAGAAGTCCTGTATAAAAAGAGGTGCACATGGAGCTTTAAATCCAGCCGGGAGAAAAGAGAGAGAGCTACAAAGGAACAGCACTCAGCAGTGTGCAGATGTAAAGGACCATTGCAGAGAATAGCGTCGATTGTGATGTTTGGTTCCTTGTGAACCGTAAGGCTCAGTGCTTCCTGGGCAGGCTTGAGATAAGCATGCCAAGGCGGTCCTACCAGCAGAAGATAATTCCAGAGGCTGGCACAAAAAGCGTACAGTGAGGGGCCTGGCAGTGGAAATGGGAGGAAGGGATTATTTAGAGCAACACTACAGCCTTGAAAGAAGGAATTGACAGGACTTCATGACAGTTTGACTTGAAAGAATAAAAAGAAGTAGAATCAAATTTGGTCCCAAGGCAAGCGTGAGATTGGACTTCAGGTGACAGAGGAGTTGGAGCAGGGCCAGAGTCCTTCCAGAACAGTCTTGAAAATCTTGACTTCTGAGGTCTTTCCAAAATAAATGCTTGGCCTTTCACAAAAGTGAAATTTAATTTAGAAGTAAAAAAGCTTTGTGATGATAATCTTCATTTCTTTGTTTATCACTCACATCTATATGTCACCCCACTTTCATCTGCTTGACTCCCCAAAACTAACATCTGTAGTCTAATACAGCTGGGTGGCTTCTACATTTCTTGCCATTATTATTTTTCCATATGAATCAGTCCTGTTGAGCTTTTATATTGCTGGTATGTGGATTGAGATCGGGAAATTTTCCCTTTGCCTAGTTGGCGATTACTTGAGTTTCTCTTCCCAGGGCCTCCCCTGATCTCTCTGGCTTATTGCTGCGTAGTGCTATGGGAGTAGGAAAAACAATCCTATTTGGAGAAGTGTCCTTGTTAACCCTTGAGTAGCACACTTGTGTGGTTGTTTTTGGTCCTTTGTGGACATACGTCCAAAGCTGATATTTTTTCACACATATCTTACTTATCTACTCACGTAATCGGATTACAGTGAGTCAGATGGTTGAAAGCCAACCCTAGCTGGTAGGCAAGGGGAGTAGATACTAGGGAACCCTGCAGTGTGCAGAGCAGAGGAGCTAGGTGGCTGAGAGCAGGTGGGAAGGGTGCTGTAAGGACAATGGATTGCACAGGGCGACGTGATGACAGATGTAGTCATCTACATGTAAGAAGCTGAGGGTGTGGACTGGACAGGGTCCTGGGAAAATCTCTAGGAAATAACATTTATTAAGTGACTACTGCAGAACCATGTTCTTTACATATGCTATCTCATATAATCCTACAGAA